CAGAGAAAGAATGACTCCTTGCAAGGGAGTGAAGTTTCCCTGGGTGATGAGGTAAGAAACAACTTCAGCATTGTCTTGTAAACCATCCTGGAATGTGAGGGCTCAGGGGCCCAAGCTCAGGGGCCACCTTTGGGCAGCAGAGCTGGGCTGGGGGGTGGATGCTGTCCTGGGGAATGGACAAGTGGCCAGCTGAGGTGCCCCATGTAACTGCTCAGGGGATTGGTGCTGGTGCCAGTTTATCTAAGGAATCTGCTTATGACGCATCTTTGCAGAGTCCTTGTAGAATTGCTTATGGCAGTAAGACTCTGCCCAGTGCATGTTCATTAATGTTTTCTTTTATAGTTAAGCACAAACATGTGTTTAATTTGCCTTGAGAGGTACCATAAAAATTCCCCAACACTAGAAGCAGAAAAAAGGCATGATCCAAACAAAAACTTATGACAGAAAAAACGCCATCCATGAAACAACCGGCCGAGTTCCCAACTGCTCTGTTGTAGATGAAGTTTCATTTAAATCAGTGCCATCATACTAGGGACAAAACTGATCCAGAGTCTAACTGGCATGTGGGGGAGGTCTTCTCAACAGCTCCCTGGGACTGACTCAAGCAGTGCTGTATGAATACAAAGACTTAGTGTGTGTGGCTGTGGTGGTTTGGGCCAGACTGGCCACTCAGGTGAAAAGACAGATGCTGTCCCCTACATTTCTCTCTGAGTACAGGCAGGAGAGAAAAAGACTTATGAGTTTAGAAGGAGCTAAACTAATGAAATATTAATAATAAAATGATAAAAAAGAAATAATGAAATATATACAAAACCGTATCAAGCTCCCAGGGTGACGATCATGTCACTGTCTGCACTGGGGAAGTCCCAGGCTGGACTCAGTGACGGACGGGAACTGGATTCCGGATCTGCATTCAGGATCAGGATCACAGGCAGACAAACAGAGTCCTCCTGAGACGTCGGCCATTGAAGAAAGAAGGCTGACCCTTTGATCCCACTGCTTTTATACTGAGCATGAGGCAGATGGGATGGAATACCCTGTTGGTCAGTTTTGGGTCACCTGTCCTGTCCGCTCCTCCCTGCAGGTGGGACCCCACTGCGCTTTTCGGCTTCTGACCCTCCAACGGGGCAAATAACAAAGTTGGTTGGCCTTGGGTGTTATAGCAATAAGTATAAGCAAGGTCCTCTCTGCATACCATGCCTGGGCATCAGCTATAAACATAGGTCTGATCACTCTGAGAGAGTGAACAGTGTCTGCACAATATGCTGTTAATTTCAGTAGTTAGGAGAGGCCTAGTTAAGAAGCAAAGTTGCTGAACAAAATTGGTCCTGTTTTACCTCAAACCAGGATAAGTAATAATAACTGTGATATGCATGATCACATCTTTAGTTATATTGCCTTTTATGGTGGAAAATATAATCTATGACACGTCTATGTTTTTAGCTTTTCCCGAGAGACATAAGAACATCTACAGCAACTCCACTTTTCATATTCCATCACCAGTCTGGTCTCATTTCCAGCTGTATCTCTGGCAGTCAGAACCCATATTTCATTTGAGATAATTTTTTAAGCTGAATGATACATATATGAAATCTTTCTCTGGATTTTGTTCTATTGCTATTGTCAAATGCTCTACCAAGTGCTTTTGCAATAGCCAGATCTCTCCCAGGATTTGCATTCAAACAGCAAATCATAAATCTTCAGAGAAAATGGAATCCCTTTAGTCTTGGATAACATTTGTGAAGTTCATTTTGGTCATCATGATGAATGTTATATGATCACTCATCACCAACATTGGCCTCAGAAATAAAGTTCTGAAACCTTTTACATGTGAGGACTAAGCATCCTTGTCTATATAAGTGTACTGACTTCCAGTTTTTATTGATACCTATGGCATAGACATTAAAACTATACAGATATGACCTTACAGAGGTATGAGCACAGCACCAGCATGCTGTTTGGAAGCATCTGTGAATAAGAAAGGCTTTAGCTTGCTCACATCCATGTTTTGCCATGCTCACATCACAGTTTCGAGCACTGTGGGCACATGTTCCCATCCCGTTATTACTGAATGATCTGTCTGAGATCAGTTTGGCAAGGAGGGTAGCACAGCCCTGGAACAGGTTACTGAGAGATACTGGTGATTCTCCATCCTTGCAGGTTTTCGGGACTGGAGTAGATAAAGCCATGGCTGACCTGATCTTGTGCTGGTGAACGTCCTGCTTTGAGCAGAAGGCTGGATTAGGTGTCTCCTCCCAGCCAGCATTTCTGTATGTCTAGTGTAAGTTAATGGCCCATTCGCCC